TTCAAATCATATGTGGAACAATCCCGGGGAACTTAGGTACCTATTTCATTATCTGTCCACCTAGAATTTAATGTAAATATGGGGAGTTCGATATCAGGGAAGAAGTGATACTCGTATTCAATAACTGCAAACCATGAAGCTTTTATGTCAAGATTTAGTTCTGGAATATATTATACGTTTTTAATATATTATCAGTTGTTGACACCTAAATATTTATAAAAACGTAATGAATATCTTTAATATTTTCGTGCTGACAGTGTATTGTTTGCCGGTTACCTTTTATTTAGTGTTTTATTTATATACAAACATCTAGACAGCTCATGCATTTAAGGTCGCCGTATTTCTCGACGTAAAATAATAAAATTGTGGTGTTCTTAAGTACAAAGATCTGGAAAAATAAACATATAGAACAAAAGTAATATCAAAAGTAAAAAAGTAAAAAAAAGTTTAGAGCGATCAAAAACAATAACGTATAAACGAAAAATATTTACTTGTTTGCAGATACAATAAGATAACTTTTAAAAATTGAATGCTTTTGTATTACGAAAAAATGTAGAGAAAAATTATAGCAAACATTTTTTATGATGCATCTTTGCCAGAACTAAGAATGAAAAAGCGGGTAGGTACACCCTGTATTTAATCTTAATATGAATGTATCAATTTTTTTGATTAATAGAAATGTATCATTAAGACTGTTAATAAATATACAGGGATGGCCAGAAGTACGGAATAAAATTCATATCTTTTGAATGAGTTAATTTTTTTTTAAACGCCGAAACACGTTAACTGATTGATTTTTTCCCATCTTTCGGTTATATAATAATTAATTTTTCTTCAACCCCGTAACCCCCAGCTACCCCTACTTTTTTTTCAAATGGAAACATAAGGCATGAAGGGGCTCGTTGAAAAGCTTATAGGAAACCGAATCCAGCCATACCAAATAAACAAGTTTTATTTTTTCAATAACAAGTTTTTTTTCATTTAGAAATTGAAACAACTAGATAATTTACAAAAATAAACTCAATGTCGCAAATGCTGAAAATGTCCTCCATTCACTATTTGGCATTCTCCAAGACGATAGTAAAAGCTGTCCACAGCATTCTGAATGACTTCAGCTGGTAAATTATGCATCTCCGCCCTAATCTTGTTCTTTAAATTCTCAATATTATCCGGTCTGTCCTGGTAGACTCTTTCTTTCAAATATCCCCAAAGAAAATAATCCAGGGGTGTTAAGTCGGGGGATCTTGGCGGCCATTCAACTGTACCCCGTCTACCAATCCAGCGATTTGGAAACATTTCATCTAAGTATCTTCGAACATCAATACCAAAATGTGGGGGAGCGCCATCTTGTTGGAACCAAATTCTTTCATTCGGTATATCTGGATCAATTTCATGAGGGAAAATCACAGCTAGAGCAGGTATCAGGTCAAATGTTAGGAAATCCAGGTAGCGTGCGGCAGTAAGATTTTCTTCAAAAAAGAATGGGCCCAAGATTCTGTTGTTGATGATACCTGCCCATACATTAACTTTTTGTGGATGCTGCGTATGCGATTCGCATGTCCAGTGTGGATTTTCCTGGGACCAAAAGCGATAGTTGTGCCTGTTAACCACTCCATTTAAATAAAACGTAGCTTCATCCGAAAAAAGTACGTCTCGTTGAAAACCATTATTGTCGTCACACCGTCTCATCATTTCCTCACAAAATTGTAATCGCCTATCATAATCGTCTTCCAAAAGCTCTTGGACAAGACATACCTTATAGGGGTGGTATTTCTCTTGTTTCAGAAACATTCGAATTGCAGTTCGAGAAGCATCGTGATTGCGGGCCAATGAAACAGTTGAAGTATGAGGATTTTCAACAAGTTCTAATGCAATGTCTAATTTCTTTTCTTCATTCAAAGCACGTGCCCGTCCAGTTTTGGGCAAAGTCTGTACTGTACCGTGTTCCTCAAATTTGTGAAATATTTTACTAACTGTCCCTTGCGAGATTTGGTTTTCGGGATATTTCGCATTAAATAAATCGCGCACTTCAGCCTGACTTCTTATTTTGTCTCCACATCCAAGCAATATCAAGATTTCGATGCGTTGCCTTTCCGACAATACCATTGCAATTCAGTAAATAACTTGATTTTGACACAATAGTAACGTTTCGAACTCCAATTTACAACTAAAGCGAAAAATTAACCAGAAAGCCTGGCAAGTAAGTGGTGCCAAAAAAACGCAACATAAAAAATATATCTTTTTTGCGTTAGCAGTGATAGGTACAGTTTCAAATTCTTTATTTTATTCTGTGCAAATTCATGGAGGATAACACTGAAGATAATTAAATTTTAGTTCACTTGTTAAGTAGGTGTTTTATACAACCCTAAAAACCTTGAAAAAATAAAACTTGTTTATTTGGTATGGCTGGATTCAGTTTTCTATAAGCTTTTCAACGAGCCCCCTTATGCCTTATGTTTCCATTTGAAAAAAAAAGTAGGGGTAGCTGGGGGTTAGGGGGTTGAAGAAAAATTAATAATTATATTAATATTATATAACCGAAAGATGGGAAAAAATCAAAATCAGTTAAAGTGTTTCGGCGTTTTAAAAAAATTAACTCATTCAAAAGATATGAATTTTATTCTGTACCGGCCATCCCTGTATGTACATGAACTGCATCAAATTCGTTTCTTTTGGTAAAGTAATAATCCCCCTTCCCCTCCAGATATATTTTAGTATAATTTAAAAAACAAATTAGTATTCTTAGCAAGTTAAAATAGTAATTAAAGCAAAAATTCTGTAAAAAATTACAGTACTATGTATCAATGGGATGACAATCATAAGAAAGTTTGGCTATTTATATCTAAGGTACCAGACAGTGTGGATGAGGAAATAATAAAAAATTTCATTATTAATAAAACGAATATAAATAATGAGGAAGATATATTTGTGATGCTTTCAAGTAGGCATCAAATTCGATCTGAAGGATATAGTGTATGATCCTAAATTTTGGCCAAAAAACGTAGCTTTCCAGAGATTTCAATTTAAAAATCAATACAGGGAAGTAGCTAATAATAACAATCAAGAAGCTAATGTGGAGGATTTTTTATCAACAAAAAACTAAGATTTCCCGCATCACCGTCAACCGCGGATGTGATGTAATAATGATAATAATAATGACACTCAATGACATAATGTTACTCTTATACATTGGAATATACAGGGTATCAAAAATAAGGTGGAAGAAATAGAGTTGTTGTTAAACGATAGTTATTTCAATATTTTACTTGTCAATGAACATTGGTGTAGTGCACAGGAATTGAAATATGTGAGTACAACTTAATATCAAATTTCTGTTGAAGAAACCTAATACATGGGGGAGTAGCCATTTACGTATCAGAGCACTATGTTAACTATAAAACTTTAGAACATATCAATTCACTTTCAATTGAAATGCATTGACTATCTATAGATCACCTAAAGGCGATTTCGATATATTTTTAGACATACTGAATCAAGCTCTAAATTTTTTCACTAGAGGTAACAAAGTAATGCTTGTCTCTGGGGATTTTAATGTGTATTTTCATGACTCTAAGAACAAGGGCTCAATGCAGCTAATGAATCTATTTGTTTCATTTGGCTTTTCACAGTAATTCTATGGTTTTTCTAGAAGTAACCATCGCCTTGATAATATCTTTACAAACATACCTGTAAATAAAGTTAAGACCAAAGCGTTGGATACAAGACATCAGATCACTCTGTTATATATCTGCAGACTAACTTAGAACTCAACTTTATACCCAAAAAAAATTTCCTCTAGACCCGTATCATCTCATAGTCATACTCAATTATGCAATTATCTGAATAACATAAATACTTATACATAACCTTCAGTTAAATATAAATATTGGGTTCGAAATGTTTATGAACTTAATTACTGAAGCTATAGAAAATCACTTTCCCTCAAAATCGTGTATCATTAACAAACCAAAGAAGTGAAATGTAGCCTGGTTTAATGATAATCTACGCCAACAGCGCAGTCACTTGCACTTTTTTTTTTATTTCTATAAACAAAATCCAACTGTTTGTAATAGAGATATATATAATAAATTTAAATTTAGGTATTTTAAATATAAATACTTTCAAAAAAAGAATTAAGAATTATTTATTGAGAAACGCTTTTTATGATTTTAATCAGTTTTTATTAAGTGACTTAGGGACACAATATTTAATTTGTTAATTTTAACTATTTGTTGGTTCTTATCATCTGTACCTATATACATGTATTGTTTTATATGTTTGTAGTATTTTTAATGACATTGTTAGTCTGTAACTATTTTATATTGGTTTTACCTATCTTTGTATATTTTTTATATAGTAAGTGATTTCAGCGTACAAAGTTATGTTCTTTTCCTTTTCTTTTGACGTGTGTAAACATTCTGATGTATATTGACATGAATTAAAATAAATAAATAAATAAATAAATAAATAAATAGTTACAAAACAGTGTATTGAAAATTACTATCAATGTGTATTTTTTACATGATTTATTGGTAATTTTTAATATATTATTTAATAGACATAATTATAAAACTTTGTGTCAATAAACGCACAAAACTTTTAGTAAATGGTACAACAATGTATATAGTTCTTAGTAACATTTCTATTGTAGTAAAATGATGTTTGAAGATTATTACTACAAAATTGTAAACATAATAATATGTCAAATATTACTACAAATTGTGTTTGGAGCTATAATTACAACAAATTGTAGTACATAGATCTACAATTGTAGAAGCGGTTACTATTCTTTTTTTTAAGTGTAATTCGCACAAATTCATAAATTTTTTTCGAAAAAATCTTATCAAATGAAACCAATGTTCTTCGTTACCAGAAACCTAAGGCCCATGCAGTGACTCCTAAAACTCCCGAGTAACGGATTTCAGATCGGTTAATTAACTTTTTGTGTTTTGGCCAGCTTTTTGGGATTTGACCCCACTGTTCGCCAGTCAGATCTCGATCACGCCGCGTTCAGTTCGCTCCAATCGGCAGCATCCCCTAATGTCAGTCCGTTTTGCATGGCGTAAGTGTCGTTCTCTACTAATAAAGCAGAGTTGGATAAGTACTACAATAGCAGTTAATTGAAGAATTTATGGTGAGTTGCTCGTAGTTTGATGACTTTTTGGCTTTTATTAACTAATTTTTGGCGACTTGGTGCAAAACTTTTAGAAAGTGAGATATGCACCGCTATATTTTTCTAGTTCGTATAGATCAAAAATGAATGTGATACTGTTTTCTTTTTATTTAAATTTTCTATTAATACGGTATAATACCTACGTTTATGTAAATAAATCGATTTATGAAAAACTAAGCTTGGACAGTCATTTTTGCATAACAGATAACACCAAATGAACCGCGCACAATAGCAGTTACGTAATTTTCTGTACATGTTAAATTTGACAATTTAAAAAAAAATACCGCAAAATTGCAAAAATAACTTTTCAACCTGTTTAGCATATTTCCCTTGAACTTTTCTCTTTTAATTTTAATACCCCAATGTATACCCTTCACGGTGGATGACTTCCATCATGCACTGGACACTGATGTAGCTGATAAACGTCTCATGCTAAAACTGGTATATAAATCAGCATCTGGTGAATTAAAAACAGAAACAATTGCAATATGCATTCTCGACGTCTTGTTAATACTACTAAGACCGCCTCACACTTTCCATCTAAGTACCGTAGAAAATCTTTTATGAGGAAGGTTATGTTTTAACCGTAAGAACATAAAGGTACTTTCAATAGATGCATAAAGTGTTAACATAGTAATATTCCATGGCAGCATAGCTGCATACAAATAAGTCTTTGACTTATGACTTTGGACAATATTAGTTATGATGTGAAACGCTAGATATACCAAATATTAATCCATCCTACAAAGATATTGGAAATGAATCACTTTTGAGTTGACTTAAAATATTTTCCATTGCTTCCAAATCTGCAATTAATTGATTATATTTTGACATACCTATATTTCTGTGCTCTTTTAACATTGCGGTATAGAATATCACTTTCGTAATGATGAAGTAGCAAACCTTCATTAGCATTAAAGAAATATCTTGGACACCTTCACCAACTGCCGCTGCACCGTACTTTTTTGTTGTTAACAAAGTTTGCTATTTTGCAATCTTAGACTTTAAAGGGACTAAAAAAACAAAGTTGCTTGCTAAGGTTATTTAAAGACTTTTGACAGTATAAACTTTTTCTATTTTTTTACATGAGTTTAAAATTACTTATTAGTCTCGCCAAAAGTCCCACATACATAGAGTACTTACTTAATTGTTTTCGTTGGTTTTGTTGCGGTAAATAAGACAACCAATACCTGTTAGAAACTGGTTGTACATACATGAAATATTTATGATATATTTAAAGCCATTTTTAGGATGTTGGGATATTTGAAAGTTTCAAGGTATTTAGAATATTATATGTATAGTAATTTCTATGTTAGTGATGGCGAAATATTTAATAACATATTTTTGTGACCTGTGATCTCTTACTTGTTAAAATTTAAATTTATCATTCTGGGTATCAGCATTTTTTAATAGTAATAAATCAAGATAAGTAAGTAATGAAATGATCAAAATATTTGGTTCAAAAATAGAAATATATACTATCACGGAATCGAATATTAATCAAACAATGAAATGAGACAAAATGAAGTATAGAATTTTTAAGAAAGAGAATACGGTTATGTTTGCAGTCTGATTAAGTTCTCTGCTACTTTTTATTTACTTATTCGTACTATAAAGTTATACAATGTTCATATATTTATAGGTACGTTTAGTTTATGTACAATTGTTATTTGAGATTTATGTACTTCTATGTGTAACTTGTTAATTAAAATTATTTAAAAAAAAATATAGTTTCTATAATAAAACAAAACGAAAGTATAATCTCCAAAATTAAGAAAATGAAGAAAAACTCAGGTATACTTTGTGGAATTAACTAACTTTTCCATAGGTATCTGCTACACTTATCTGATTAAGTTGAACTGTTAGCACATATTTGGAAATATCAAATGTAGAAATTACGGTGTCAAATTTTGGAAAGCTTTCATTATTCGAAATATTTACAAAAATTTTTTTATAAAAAATTTTTATAAAAATATTTTCTTTTTTTGCAGGTAGATTATCTTTAGAATGGCAAAAGATTTTCTCTTGTTTGTTTTAATTATTACTTTATTGGGTAAGTACTACGATTATAATTAATATTCTCCAGTTCTGTCGCACCCGTATGGTGTCAGTTTCATTAAAAGACCCATGTGTGTAATAATTTTTGGAAGATTTTCTATTCGATTTTCAAAATTAGTATGCTTAGAATAACTGACAATTATATAAACAATTAAGTTAATTTCTAAATAAAATATTTACATCTGTTCAATTCTGGATAATATATTTTTCAATTTAAGTACGACTTACAAAATAAGTTGGAATTATGTGAGTAAAATATATTTCTGAAGATTATAAAAGGTTTAAACTTGCTCCTTTTTCTATTTCCCCTAACTTTTAATAAAAATTGTTATTGGAAAAAGCATAGTAAATTTTTAATAATGTTCTGTAAAATGACAGCAAAATAAAAATATTTTATTTCAATTCTTGTCATTGTCTTTGATTTGCTGGTTAAACTGTAATTTCAGCAACTCGTTAATTGAATGTAAAACGTAATTTGGTGTTTATATTTAAATTTAATATATCATTTGTCATAAATTTATGGCAGTAAAAATAGTTGCCTTTACACAGGATTTACCTAATCGTAATGAGATGAATATCTTATTTTCGTATTATTTTGATACAAAGAAAGATATTCGTTATTTTGTAATTAACGGATAGAACTTCAATGAATTTAAACATAAGTATTGATGTATGTTAAGGATTTGTGTTTTATATAGTGAATTGTTTTATAATAACATTTGCCAACCGTAGTCCATAAAATAAAGATGTTGATGAATTTGTTAGATACATTTATTTAAAGGTTATAGTCATTGTATGGATTGAGACATATTTTGTTTTTTTTTTTAATTAGAATGCTGTCATATATTTATGTTTTTAATCTTTACGCTAATTATTACAAGATTCAAAGATCCTATACTATTTTTATATACCTAATGTTTGGTCCATTGCAACCTATCCACTTGTTGGACAATTCATTATCATATGTGTGTAAAACCATGTGGATTGTCTAACAGTTAAAGGCACATTCTTGACTAGTTTAAGCGTTATTTTGCAAAATATAGATATTCGGTCTGGTAGCGTAAAAGGGTCATTTAGCAAACCATCAACAATATACCTATAAAACTTAATACTTAAAAAACAGTTGTAAATTTGTTGAATATTTGCAACTTCAATAGTTTAGGAGATATAAACAATCAAAGATACGAATACGAAGAAAAACTTCATTTTTATAACAAATTCATGTAACTAACGATCTACAATAGCTACGTACTTGGCCCAAAGCTCATTTGAAAGCTCAATTTATGTTCTACAAAATTGTCTTGAATATCCATAACTGTATCTTTAATACATAGTTTAAAAGTTATAGCTGTGAATGAGTAAACAAATCGCATGGCTGGTCTAAAAAAATTTAAAAAATGTCCTATATGATTAATTAGATAGGGAAATAATATTTTTTATATTTTATATTGCAGATGTTGCGTTTGGTTTGTACATCTCCCGAACATCATTGATAAAAAATTTAGATGAAACCTTCGTGGTGATATGTAGGGATGAAGGCGGTCAGTATGTGACGTGGCAAGGACCTAACGGGACACTGAATGCCAAGACGCGCCCTATGGTGCAGCATGCTTTTTATGGCTTCTCCATCTTATTCAATAAAACAAAGATCGAGGACGCCGGAAATTACACCTGCATATTGAATGCTTCGCCGCAAGTGAGGAAAGTTTTTTCACTTACCGTAAGAGGTAATAATGATTTTTAAGGTTTCCTCATTTAAACTTCATGTTTACTGAAAAAAAAAATGTTTAGATATCTCCTCTAAAGGTTTAAGTTTTTCATAATTATAAAGTAGTTGTTACTTCTGATATTTGTAGGATATCAATTAGAAAGTCTAACTAAGCCTTATTTGATGCTATTAGCTTTGTTTTAATCGTAAATGGATTGGATTTTATATGTTTTAGAGTACAGAAATCCATTTCGATCTCATGAATATAGTTTGTAATTCTAGCAAGGCTGCCTATATTTTTTACTTCAAATGAGGAAACCTAGTTAGTATATCTATTGTAAATAGACCAAGCAAATTAAATTTTTACTCGAAAAAAGTCCTATCCGCTAGATTATTGTAAAATTGTCTAAAGGAACATAATACAAGACATCTCTCGTCTCGTGAGTCAAAAACTTTTATTAGCTAACTTTTCTATTTAAACAAATAAGTGAGGAAAACAGTTTTTTCACTTTGCAGGGAAAACCATCAATTTTAGCGAAAAGTGACTCTCAGACAGCTTATAGGGAGTAAAATTATCTACAAAATGAGACTGGTTAAATTAAAATCGGTTAATAAACAAAAAAGTTATTGCAAAAAAACAAGAAAAGTGCCCATTTTTTAATTTGTTTATAACTATCGCATTTATTGTTAAAATTTTATAAAACCTATGACAAGTTGAGGGTTTTGTCATACTTTAAAAGTGTGCCAAAAGTGGGCGCTGTAGGTGCAATAGTTTTCGCACAATTCTATTTGTTTATAGCGGAGGCTCCAAAAGTTATGAACTTTAAGCCTCTGTACAGACGTTAATTTTCAATCAAACATGATTCTGAAAGCGTCATTGTAATCTTAAAGACGCAATTAAGCGACCTATTAAAAAATATCACCGTTTTTTTGACATTAACATTCTCAAATTGTGCATTAAAAAACCGTGCGTTTTTCGCTTATAAACAATTTGAATAACATTGTTGCTATTTATGCTATCTCACCGAAAATAGGTGCAATGGATAGCTGGAAAAAAAATACAGTTTTAAAATAAAAAAAGTGCCCTCTACGACCAACAGGAGCCAAGATAAGAATCTTTTTTTAAAAAATCGTAGCGCAATTGTTTATAAATATTAAGACTTGAATTTTTCGCAAAATAAAGTTTACGACGTAAACTACGATTTCCCGTGAATTGCATTGAAAAATGTGGAAAATTAACGACTCACGAGCCCTTTAAAGAGAAGGTACTCGCTAAGTAAACTGTCCGGCGGCCGGCGGCGTGGTGGTGGGGGAAGTGCGCGCTGTAAATTTTGCAATATCTCGGCTTCTATTCATCGTAGAAACTTTTTTTTTTTTTAAACTGGGGTAGCTCGACGAAAAAATAACAATGGGCATATTTACGAATTCGTAGAATAGCCCTGAACCCCAGAAAAAATGCATCTTTTATAATTAATTTTTTTTAATTTACAAAAATGTCACAAAAATTATTGTTAAACGAAATATTAATTAAAATTTCAATTTCGGAATTATTTTACTATTATTAAATAAATAAATGAAGCTATCGTTCATTTAAAAAGTTATTTCTTTTACATATTAAGGCAAAGTAAACTTGTTTTTTCAATATTTTGTTAGCTATTTAATTACGATTTAAATGTAAAATTAAAGTAAAAATTCACAAATTATTTTCAAATTATTATTTATTGTTAAAAGATTTAAAAAAGAATAAAAAGCATTTGAATTTATTGCAAAATTCTCAAAATTAAAAAATATTAAAAATAACGCGGTCGATAAAATTACAATTTTAACTTCCTGAAATTTTAATATATAAAGTTTTTTTATTATATTTATTACTAATTTTATAAACATAATCAATATTAATTAAAAAAATATTAATCACAACCATTTTCAATAATAGATATAAATAATGCAATATAATACAATTTAAAATTTAAAATATATTCTATTTTTATGAGAAATAATAATTTGAAAATAATTTATGGATTTTTACTTTAATTTTACATTTAAATCCTAATTAAATAGCTAACAAAATATTGAAAAAACAANGAATTAAATAAAATGTAAATCAAAATTGTACTAACGAAATACAGGAAGGTGATCACGTGTATTAAGAAAATAAACTTAAAGGCAACGATAAATTCAAAATTCCCTAAAGAGAGAAACTGGTTCAGTGGCGTATCTACTGGGGTAATTCATTTTAAACATATACCTATGTCTTTCGGAATATTGTAATACTTCACCAGCATTATACAGGGTGGTCTCGAGGTAATGGGCCAAAATTTATGGGTAGATTCCCGAAGCAAAAACATTGCGATTTAGCCGAGCTTACCTTAGTCCAAAAGTTGATAGTTAAAGAGATACAGGGTGTTAAATGTAAAATATTATTTTAGTTTATTTCCATTTATTTCTTAATAAATGCAAATATCTACACAAGATTTTGGGGTTTGGGGTGCTTTGGATAGAGGAATTGAAATTTATTCACATTTTGGTAACCAAAAGGGCGCCAGCTGCCGAAGATTGAAGGTGTTGGAAACGACATACCTTTTTTGTACTTTAAGGTATCAAATTCTTATTTTCCAATTTTTTTTACACAAAAAAGGTATACTTTATGAAAGACTTTGAAACTTCCAATGGTAATAGTTGAAATAATTAAAATAATTTAGAAATGTCAAAAAACAAGGGTTTATTTAGAATTAAAAATTGTAATGCACAGTAAAATAGTAAACATTAGTAAAAATATGCCTTTTTGACAATAATTGCTCAAAATGTCCACCTCTGAGTTCAATACATTTATCAATACGTTTATTAAAAGATTGTCTTATTTTAAAGCATAAATTCTTAATGCGAAATGACTTTGCAGCTCTTAAAACCTGCTACTAAAGTTCTTCTCAAGTGTTTACAGTTTCATCATAAACAACTGATTTCATATAACTCCAAAAACGAAAACCTCGGCATTCTATCTCACATTTATGTATACGAGTATACAATTTAATTAGATACGAATAATACTTAATAGAAATTAGCATACAAATGGCAGCAATAAGACAAGTGGAAGACGTCAATTATTTGATTTTCGTCCAAATTCTACTTAAAAAACTTTACCGCTAAATTAATACCTGTAGGTACTTAATTGTAATTTAATGCAACAGCATTGGAAGTTTCAAAGCCAAATATCTCGAAAACGGTGCGAGATAGCTACTTTAATAAAGTATACATTTTTTGTGTAAAAAAAGTTGAAAAAAATAATTTGTTACCAAAGATAAGATACCTTAAAGTACAAAAAAGTTATGTCGTTTTTAACACATTCAATCTACTGCAACTAGCGCCCTCTATGAACTTTAACCAATATGTGAACAGATTTCAGTTTCTCTACTCAAAGAACTCCAATCCTCAAAATTTTGTGAGGATATTTGCATCTGTTAAGGAATAAATTAAAAAAACTGAAATAATATTTTACATTTAACACCCTGTATCTCTTTAACTATCAACTTTTGGACTAAGGTAAGTTCGGCTAAATCGCAATATTTTTACTTGGGAAATGTGCCCATGAATTTTGACCCATTACCTCGGGTCCACCCTGTATAATTTAAATAAAATGTAAATGAAAATTGTACTAACGAAATACAGCAAGGTGATCACGTGTATTAGGAAAATAAACTTAAAGGCAACGATAAATTCAAAGTTTCCTAAAGAGAGAAACTGGTTCAGTAGCGTCATATTACATTTTCTTTGAAAAAATTGAATTTTATTCTGCAAAATGTATGTTTTATTGAAGAAAAAATGTTTTNAAAAACTGAAATAATATTTTACATTTAACACCCTGTATCTCTTTAACTATCAACTTTTGGACTAAGGTAAGTTCGGCTAAATCGCAATATTTTTACTTGGGGAATCTACCCATGAATTTTGGCCCATTACCTCGGGACCACCCTGTATAATGTGTAAAAAATTTCTATATGTTCATTTGGCCAAAAACATGTTTTAATTACTGGTGTTAAATTTTGTTTTGTTTCAATAGGTCTCCAAAATGCCATATTGTGATAATATTAGTAAACAAAATATCCCTTTTATTTCTCCCTTTCGCAATAATTGTAATATGAATGATTGATAGAAGGTGCCTATAATAAATTAAAATTGCTTGATTCACACCAAATTCCGCACTGGTGCACTGCACTGCTGGGCAATTTATGAACCATTTGTCGCCTGCTGTGATTTATTGCCCAGAAGTAGTATAGTTTCTTCAATTGACTTCGGAAAAACTGTACCTGCTTTTATTGTGTTTGACGTGTTTATTGTAATTTTTTTCTTTTTTCGTTTTATTTATTCTCTGACATTTAAGTGTATGTAAACTATTACTGCTCCTTTTTGTTGAAACTTTGTGTTTTAGTAAAATATTGTTTTTTTATTATTTCTTCTACCTTCTACGTCTCGTGTATTTCTAATTGGAATTACTAAATGTTACACTTTTTCTTTTCTTAAACTAAATCTGTAACATGTAGGTACTTTATTTACGCTATGTCCATTTAAATCTATTTTATTCACTAGATTTCTAACACATAAGTGCATTTCTTTCCCTTTCCCAACTTTACCGAGAGATCTCTCACTACTGAAGTGACGTCACACTCGAAGCCCTCAGACCATGGACTCAAACTTTATNGTGTTTTAAAATCTTATGAGCTTTGACCTTCATATGCGCAGAAACATAATTCCGACCGTCGCCTAAATTATTCTACGTCCTAAAAACATTACACCTATTATGCACAGTCTATCTCGAGCTCTCGTAGCGTGAACAAGCCTTTGATCCGATTACAAATATCATAATAAAATGCCCTATTCTTTGTTATTTTAATTTAAGCAATAAAAATATATATAACGAACGTTCGCCAGTTGACTTTATTGATGCCCGATCGCCTTAGTTCATTTCTACTTGTAATGATGCACATGGTCTAGTTCTGAGTCAATGTTTTCACAACATAAAATCACAAATATTTCCTAAACTGTTAATTTTACCG